TAATTTTTTAATTTAATATTTTCTCCCATTACATGTGAAAACTATTTTTAACATTTGCTTTAAAAAATTTTTGAATTCTAAATTCTCTCCTTCCCTCCAATCTCACCCCTCCCCATTGAGAAGGCAAGTAATTTGTATAAGTTATCCACGAATAGTCATTCAAAACATATTTCCGTGCTAAACAGCTGAAAGGAGATACAGACAAAAAAAAAAAGAAAAAAGTAAAAGAGAAAAAGTATGCTTCAATCTGCATTCAGACGCCATCAATTCTTTCTCTGGAGATGGACAGCACAAAATCCTATTCCTTGAGTAAGGTTTTAGTCCCCAACTCACCTGAAAGGATTACCCAACGTGTCCCTAAATTACAGAGTTGAAAATTCCTAGACTAGGTAATGGAATCATTCAAATCCTATGATCCTATTTATGTATTCAGTGAATGTTTATGTTCAACAAAATACTATATCTTGTCATTTTATTTTTTAGTATGTCCCTCTGAGGTAAATGACCCATAATCTACTAGAGAACAGGCAGTACAACCACCACAGATCTTATCCAAAGTTTAACAAACAGGACAGGGTCAAAGAAGGAATTTTCTGACTTTTTTTTTTTTTTGCAGCTTATTTTTCCTATTTGTTTAGAACTTAAATACAAAGACCAAACAAAACCAAAGAACATTTCCATGTACAACAGCACAACATAAGAGGATTCAACATAAAACCATGAATTTCCATTTCAAACTCTTCACTTTTTAAAAAATCATGTAATAAATACCACACGTTATTTTCAAAGCTACCGTGCTTTTCTGTGCTTCCTTCCAAGTTTTCTTTTGTTCTCTGATGTGCATTTTTTATTTTATCCTCCCTCCCTCCCTACCCAGCCCTCAAAAGACTGTACAAATTTATACATGCATGCATGTATGTATGTATGTAAAACCATACTATATACATATTTATATTTAACAGTTCTTTCTCTGGAAGTGGACAGCATCTTCCTTCATAAGGTCCTTTGTAGTTGATTTGAATATTTACAACACTCAAAATAACTTAGTCATTCAAAGTTGTTCTTAGAACTATACTGCTGCTGCTACTGTGTATAATGGTCTCTTAGTTCTGCTCATTTCAACTCTATTATTTCATTCAAGTCTTTCCATGTTTTCCTAAAATCAACCAGCTGATCATTTCTTATAGCACAGCAGTATTCCATCACAATCATACACCACAACATGTTTCTGACTCCCAAACATACGTTCCATTCCATTATACTGTTCTTTCATAGTGCTATTCACCAGCACGTAAGCAAATACAAACTGTCCCAAAAGTCTTAGTGCAGTTTTAAACTTTAATAACTTCAAAAATACAAATGCTATAAACATGCAAAAAATAACATTTAAAAGGTTAATTATTTAAAATTTTAAAGTACTGATATGCTTATTAAAATTCAACTAACCAAGCTATCTGTTGCTTTCGTCAGCTACTCCTCAGTAACCGAAAAGATTGCATTTGTAAACCCTGCCTTTAGGATCAGCCAAAGAAGGTTTTGACACAACATACAACAATTGTGACATAATCCCGCAGGAAAATCTAAGACAGATCACATGACCAAGGTGCCCAAGCAAGAGGATCTCCTCTACTGATCACCTAAGAAAGCATCAGAAAATTTAATTAAAAATTTATTAAAGTTGACTGGGGGGGAGGGGGAGCCATGATAACATTCTTCTCCAAACAACTTTACAATTAAACCTCAGATTGAATTTTGGAGCAGCAGAACAAATAAAAGGTCAGAATAAGACATTTCTCCAGACTAAGGAGAAGGTCTGGGACACTGAAGTGGGCACCAGCCACTGGAACATTCAATGCAGCTGGTACAGGGTCTGGAGGCAGCTGCAACAAGGAGCAGCAGCTTTGGGAACTCTCAGCCCAAAGATGGTAAGGGAGTAAGTCAACTGCTGGGAAAGAGATTACAGGGGACCCCCTGCTGGCACTGTGTGCAGCTAGCAACTCTATTTACCATCCTCAGTCCTGGGTCACAATTCACAGCTGGAGAGGAATGCTTGTGGTTGGTCACACACACAAAAAAACAAAACAAAAACAAAAACAAACAAACAAAAAACCAAACAGGGGCCCTGGTCAGTTCTAGAGCCCAGAGAAACTCTAGAACTTTCAGATACAGGGGAGGAGGGACCCTCCCTCAATTAAGTCCAAAACATAATCAGGAGAGCAGTGACCACATATCTCCCCAGATCACACCATCCTGTAAGCACTGAAAACTTGTAGACTCCCAGAACAGCAGTTAAAAAAAAGTCTGAAGCTTAGGACAGTGTCTCCTCACCCCAAGGACAGCAGAGGCCAACATCAACATAAAGTTCAAAATCACGGTACAGGCTAGACAAATGAGCAAACAACACCACCAAAAAAACCCCTAATCATAAAGAGCTACTACAGTGGCAGGGAACACAAAGTCAAAAACTCAGATGACAACAATGTGAAAACAGCTACAAGCAAAGCCTCAAAAATGCTAGTTGGACCCAAGCCCACCAAGAATTCCTGGAAAAGTAAAATAAAGATGGAAAAGTAAAATAAAGAGCTAAAAGCGGCAGCAGAAGAACTGGGAAAAGAAATGAGTCATGAAAGAAAATTATGAAAAGAGAATTAACAGCTTGGTAAAAAAGGTACCAAAAAATACTGAAAATAACACCTTAAAAAACAGAATTGGCCTCACAGTAAGAGACACAAAAATTTACTGAAGAAATCCTTAAAAAGCAGAGAAACTACATTTTGATAAAAGGTACCATAGGCAAAGATGTAATATCAAAAATTTTTACAGCAAGTTTCTCTGATAAAGCCTCTTTTCCCAAATATATTAGGGAACTGAATCAAAGTTTTAAAAGAGCCATTTCTCAATTGATAAATTGTCAAGGAATATGAACAGGCAGTTTTCAGAAGACATCAGAGCTCTCTATAGTCATATGAAGAAATGCTCTAAATCACTATTGATTAGAGAAATGCAAATTAAAAAGTACTAGTATCAAATCTAGCATAAAATAGCTTGTCACATACTAAGGTTTAGTTCTTCAAGTCATTGCTCATCTCACACCTATTAGAAACAACAAATGCTGGAAAGAATGAAAGAAAATAGGTAAACTAATGAATTGTTGGTAGAGTTGTGAACTGGTCCAACTATTCTAGAAAACTATCTGAAACTATGTCTAAAGAGCTATAAAACTGCATACTCTTTGACCCAGCAATACCACTTCTAGGTCTGTATCCCAAAGAAATTTTCAAAAATGAGAGAAGAAATAGGACTCATAGGTACAAAAAATACCTACATCAGCTCTTTTTGTGATGGCAAAGAATTAGAAATTGAGGGAATTCCCATCATTTGGGGAATAGTTGAACAGGTTGTGGCATATAAGTACGAGGGAGTACTACTGTGCTACAAAAAATGATGACTGGGATAGTTTCAGAAAAACACGGGAAGACCTATATGAACTGATACAGAGTGAAATGAGCAGAACCAGATCACTGTACACAGTACCAGCAACATTGCAATGATGATCAACTGTGAGCCTCAGCTACTCTCTGATCAATACGAGGATGAAAGAAAATTCCAAAGGACTCGTGATGAACAATGCCAGCCATCTCCAGAGCTGTGACTGTAAACTGAACTATAGTCTTCTCACTTTTTCTTGCTTTTTAAAAAAAAAACACAATATGGCTAATATGGAAATGTTTTAATGATTTCATACGTATAGTGGATATACTGTTTGCCTTCTCACTGGTACGGGAGGAGCAAGAGGGAGGGAGAGATGTGGAACTCAAAACTTAAAAAAAATCAAGTATAAGTAAATTTTTATTCAAAATGCACACAAAGAAATACAAAAGAAATTTAAATAATTAAGCTTTCAAATAATTTTTAAAAGCATGTACAATTACATAGTATTAAAGTTTAAAACTGCAATAAGAGTTTTGAAATAACCTGTACCAGGTAATCACTTAAAAATATTGTACAAGCCTCAAATAAAGTCTTCATAAAGCACATATTTTGTCACACAAACATCTAGCAGTCATTATGTGCAAAAAGCTAGGGATACAGAAACTAGTCTCTCCCTTTAAGAAACTTATATTCTACTGAGGGAAATACAATATGCACACAAGAAAACATAAATAAATATAAAGTAACTTCAACACGGTAAAGTGCTAATATAACTGAGAAGGCCTGCAGATGACTCAGGAAAAGCACAGGCGGTAGAACCTAAAATAGACTTTAAAGGTTGAGTTCAGGATTCTCTAAGGCATTTGAGTGAACTCCAGACACAGGACATAGAATGTTGTACAGGCCAGTTAGAATGGAATGGAGAATAAATGAAGAAAGCAACATTAAATAAGACTAGAAACGTATGTCGAAAGCTTTAAATGTCAGGCTGAGGTCTTTGTGTTTTATCCTAGAGGGCACAAGAAGGTTTTTATTTGAGGGAATTGTGCCTTAGAAATATCAACTTGGCAGCTATATGGATTTGGAGAAGGAAATGTAATTGTAGTAGGGGAAACCACCTAGGAGGTTACAAAGAATAGTAGAGATGAAAGGTGATTACAGTCTGTTAAAAAGGAAAGTTCAAATTTCCAGCCATTAATCCCAATGATGCACATAACCTGATCTGAGGATCAATATTTTTTTCCCCCCAAAAGACTGCAAATTTGAGAGCTGAAAGGGGGCTTAAGATTCATCTAGTCCTGCAGCGGAAGGTTCCCCACCTCTGATTCTAGTCCAACAGTTCTCAAACATTTTGGTCTCAGAACCCTTTACAATCTTAAAAATTATTTAGGACCCCAAGGAGCTTATTTTTATGTGTTCAACACTTATCAGTATTACCATATTAAAAACTAAAGTTGATGAAGTTTTAAATATTTATTAATTCATTTATAATACTCATGACAAATTAACATAAAATAACACTTTTATGAAAAATAACTTTTCCAAGATATAAAAAAATTTGTGAGAAGAGTGTCAGATTTAACATATTTTTTGCAAATCTCTTTAATGTCTGGTGTAATAGAGGACAGTGAGATTCTGCTTCTGCATTCAATCTGTTGTGACATGTTTGAAGGTATATGAAGAAAATCTGGCTTCATAAGGATACATAATTAGAAAATGTGGTGTATTTTAATACACAAATTACCTTTTAGTATTTTGACCTCAGCGACCCTCTGAAAGTGTAGTTCATATAATTTGTACGTGTAGATCACTGGTTTGAACCAATGATCTGGTGGTAGTCCAAGCCCAAGCCCTTCATTTTACAGATAAGTAAAAGTAAGGCCAGAGGGTTAAGTACCTGCATACGGTCACATAAGCACTAAATAGCAGAGCCAGAACTAGAATCCAGGTCCTCCAACTCAAAAGCTAATGCTCTTTCCACTAAGAGTAGAATGCCTCCCCTTCTAGGCTTCCCATTCAGAAGACAAATCATTCTTTCATAATTCAATGCTCAAGTTTCATACTAAAACTTACACAGAAACTGCATTCCAAAATTAACCTATACTGAAAGGACCCAAGATTTCATCATCATGGTTACTACCTCCATCAATATAGATCATAACCACATTACAATTTAGTACACAGTCTTTGGAAATTGCAGTGGCCAAAAAATTCCTCCTTAAACCAAGCTGGAAGAGATTTAACTACTCTAAACTTAGCTAAACTCAGAGAGACATACACAATCTGTCACCAAGCCACACTGGAAACCTCTTCACCCAATTTACCAAAGCTCACGCTCCAAAGGCATAGCAATCAACAATCCAGGGTCACCTCCACAGAAAGAAGCAAAAAAAGCCATTTAGTATAAGGATGCCCATCTATTCACTTCACAGTGGCTCACAATATTTTCTTTTGATTTAGACTCCAAAGTCAACATTTCCAATCCTATTTGAATTTATTTCCCATTCTCAACTGGCATTAAATGAGGTAAGCCAAAGCTTAACCTATAAACCAAGTAAGAGTTTAAGAATTAAATGAAAAAGGAAGATTTAAAAGCAGAAATTATTTCATCTTGGCCATCTATATAGTGACAGATACCAAGGGGTATAGTGTGAACAAAGTGAGTGATGTGGGGTCGTTATAGTCACTGGCTCACTAATCAGCTATTAGTCCTTCAGGAGCCCAGATTTTTGTATATCTGTAAAAGAAAAGATGTGACTATATTATCTCCTTTCCAGATTGAAAATCCTTTATTTTTATAACTGAATTATTCCATTCTAATCTGCAAGTGGAAATTCACCATGAAGCATTTAGCGCTCTATGGGATCTCCTATCAACAGGAACCACCATAATGTTAATGTCACCTAATCCCTGAGTAACCACGCAGGCATATGGGGGGATTATGAATTATCTATCTGTTAGATTACTGAAAATTTTTCTTCCACAGAATATAAAAATTTAACAAAATATGGTTTAAACTTTCGAGGAGAAGATAACTATTTGAACTCAAAATTCTGAAAATACTTTAGACTTCTAAATTCTCTCACAAATGAAAGGTTTATGAATTACGTAGCCAGAGTGCAAAAGAAAAGTTAAATTTTTTTAAAAAATGAATTGAATCCTTTTTTATTCCTTACATCAGGTTTCAAAGAGTACCAAGTGCTTCACAGACTATTTAAATCAGTTAGCTATCAGCCCATATCCTCTGAAACTTGGATTAAGATAAAACAAGTGATTTCCTTCATCCTTGGCCAATCAAATAATGTCCCATCCCCAAAATTCAATTCATCAATAGCAGGTAATGATAATAATGATGATAGCTAGCATTTATATGGTATTTTAAGGTTTCCAAAGTACTTTATAAGTATGATCTCATTACATCCTCACAACAATCCTGGGACATGAACGCTGCTATTACCTCCATTTTACAGATGAGAAAACTGAAACTGAGGGAGGTTAAGTGATCTGCCCTAGATTATAACAGGTCATACGACCTTTAAATCTTTCTGACTCCAGGTCCGGTGCTCTTTCCACTGAACTAACTTAGAAACTTTCTATTTCCATTGAAGACATCATTAAACATTTTAATTTCCCTCTAGCCAGCTTGAGAGTCACTTAACTACAAATGAATTGCCATGATGGTCTTGTTCCTATAGGACTGTAAGTACAAACACAACATTATTGAAAAGGGAATTTTTAATCTTACCTTCGAATTTTATTACAGCTCCCCTTCCCCAAAATTTGAAGGCTTGGCAGTCATCATCAGTACCAGATGTCAAGTGAGAAGGCCTGCAGGTTACTAGCACCTCCAAAATCTCAAAAGATAGCATCTTGCTTCTGCTCTCTAAAATGGAAGTATGCTTTTGATTGTACAAATGGTTTCCTCAAATTACACAATAATGACTCTAACAGAGAAGAGTGTTATGTAGGTCAGTTGACTTTATAGCCAATGTTTAGGTCACTCAAGGCCATCTCAAATTATCTCTAAGGGATGCCAGAAATTATTAAATTCACTTATAAAATACACAACACATGACTTTTGAGCTTTTGAGGGAGGGGAAAGCATAAAACACTAATAAAAAGTAAAGTGCTAAATCTCCCGAAAGTTTGGAAATCACTATCTTTTTTAATTGGGCACAACCTGGTCAGTTGTCCCAACACAATACACCAACATTAAGGCTAATCTTTCTTATAAAACCTTCCACTGAACCTCAAATATTTTTATTTCATAACCACTACACTACCTTACTTTTGTTTACTAAGTTCCACCTCTTCTTCTCTTAGATTCATATTTGTTATAGACTAGGACTGTCTATCTCTCTGGAGCCATAAATGTTTCTCCCTCCTAAATGGTTCCTAAAAACATAAAGCCTTTTACCTATGAAGCCAGGTGGTAATTTCCCCCAGCCCCACCCAACTTAACTACCAAGATGCCACCTTACTCAATTACTTGCTTAGTACCTTACGTCTTAACAGAAACTAGATGGCAGGGGCCATACATGCTCAAATCCTATATACCACTAGCAGACAACTTAAATGGTTCTCAAAAACTGATACCAAAAAGTTCAGTTGAAGCAGCATAGCATTGTAAAAACAGCAGTTTGAATCCAGATCTACTAACATTATTGTGTGAACCTTGGCAACTAACAACCACATTAGGTATTGCTAACCTGAGTAAAATTAAGGAACTTGACTATCACCTCAAAGATCTAGGATCTCATCAACTTTACAAGCATATTTTAACTTAAGGTCATAAAATTATGAAATAAACCACCAATTTAGGATAATACATCCAATTTCAAGATTCTCATCATTCGAGCAAAGTAAAGCTAGGTTATGAACTAAAATGTAATGTAATTCCCCCACAACATCCTGTCAACTTCTAGAGAAAAGAAAGAAGGTCCCCATCATACCAGGGGCATCTCCTGGAGAACTTGAACAATAGTTGCAAAGATGTTTTGCAATTTCTCATCCTTGAAAGGAACAAGGACACAGATGAGAACACAGTTTTGACATTGTTTTCTGGTGAGTAGAAGAGAGAAGGAAGAGGGAAGTTAAGTTTTAAATCAACTGAAAAATGTAAGCAAAAAGCAAACCAAGAGTATTTCAATTCTGTGCCCAATGTGGAAATTCTGCATCATATTTTGGATGAGAATTCTAGGGACTCTCAATCATGGCTAACAAAACTACATTATTCAAATTTTCAAGCATTCTGTTCAGAAAAAAAGAATTTTGCTTTTCAAGAAAGTAAATTTGGCATGTTGTGAATGAAACCAGAAAATCCCTTTTCACTACTTTTTCTTCTTGAAAAAAAAAAAGGCAAATAAGCTAACCAAATTTCCATTCCACACTATGAAATTTCACTTTTTGGCCTACTAACCGGAGAGGAGAAAAGAGATGTGACTGAATTTTTTGTTGTTTAATTGTTTTCAGTTAGTCCAACTTTTTGTGACCCCATCTGGGGTTTTCTGGAGTGGTTTGCTGTTCCATTCTCAGACTCATTTTACAGAGAAGGAAACTGAGGCAAACAGATTTCAGTGAGTTGCCCAGGATCACAGCTAGTGTCTGTGGACAAATTTGAACTTAGGTCTTCCTGACTCCAAGCCCAACACTCTATTCACTTCACCATGTTTTAGGATCATAGATTTGCACCTGGAAGGAACTTCAGAATTCCTTTACATTTTACAAGTGAGGAAAAACTCAAGACCAAAGATGTTAAGGAATTGACCAAAACACAAGTAACAGAACCAAAATTCAGTGTTCTTTCCACTCCACCTGCTTTCGTGTCACTTTAGAAAACATGCAAAATAAAAATGGGTGCTTTTCATAATAAAAATTTTATGATCATTTACCACTAAAAAACCTTTGATTTTCTTTTTCTACAAAAACAACTGAGTGGCTATTGAATTTTCTAGTACTTACATCCTCAGACTCAATATATATAATCAGGTCTTGAAGTCAAGACAGGCCATCCATTACTTACTGGTCATCACCATCTGAACTCTGCACGTTTTAAAAAAACCTGTATGTGACAAGGTACGGTTGTCATTTTATTCTTTGGATTGTGATGAACCCCAAATCCAAATTTAGTAACATCCATTAAGTTTTAACGGTCAAATAAAGAATAATCAGATCTGTTTTACAAGCATTCCCACCTGAAGTCAGCCTACTTTTTTCCCTGACTTGCAGATAACCTGTTGTGGAACAGTTAAGTTCTTCTCTTCAGAAAACAAGCACACTCAGCTGTTGACGTGCAATGTGCATTGCCATGGAGAGAAAAGCTATAATCTTCCTCCGTTACAGGAGATTTCCTGCTTAATTGATGAAATAAAAATTATTAATTAAACGTGGCAATAGCAGACATGGTCCAACCTGACAATTTCACACTGCATCTAGTTCAGACTACAAATGAGTAGTCATTCTGCCACCCCCGGCCCTCCAAAGCTCTCTTCTGCCTCCTTTCACGGGTACAATGAATCCACTTCAAGGAGGGAAAGGAGGACCCACCAAGGTAAGCCTTGTTAACACCGTAAGTTAAAAGGGCAGGAAAACGGGGTTGAGTCACGTAGATCCGCCATTTTCTGAGCGGAGGAGGAAGACATGTTGGAACAAAAACACAACAAAAGAGCAGCCATTTCCCAATCCAGATCCAACAGCAACCCTAACCGGATGAACCTGGTCACTGAACCCTCACCTTGTCTGCACAGGCTAAAGCAAAGGCTGTAAGAGAACCGAACACACCGCACAAAACCAGTCTCCCCTCACAGCAACGAAAGCAACTGCCCCCCCGGAACCCAGCAGCACACAAAATGCCTCGGTGAGGATGTCAGGAGTCAAAAGAGAGCCGCGAATAGAATGGAGCCTCACAGGCACCCAGAAAACGTCGCGTTTTCTTACCGAGTTGGACTGGGAATCAAAGGGAACTACTGACCACACAGAGGACCCGAGTGCGCCAGCACACAGACACTTAAAGGGTCATGAGTCAGACGCTCCCGACCATCCGAAACACTGCAACAAGCCTGATTCCGGTGCTCCCGTTCGACACCTCGCCGCCCACTTCTCCCATCCCTTCAGCCCCCAGCGGCTCCTCTGATTCTCGGGTCTTACCGTATGTGGGGAATGCCAACCCCACCTTGAAGAATCTTATAGAGTTTGCTCTCGTACAGCAGCTGGGGATGCCTGGCCTTCTGGGACTCTAGCTTCACTGCCACTTCCTGCGGGGAAGAGAGGGCATGGCATCAACGCCCCTAACAGCAAGCTGGGGAGGGCAAGGTCAGGGGTGCCACACGTCAACTTCCAATTCGAACTATCAGGTGAAACGGGGGGGGGCTGAGGAAGCAAAATCTTTTCTCGTACTCACAAAACGAGGCACTCGGCCTCAACAGAGCCTCCTCAGGCCGGTCACAAAGCCGTCCTCTGATGCACAATAATAATGGTCACAACAACGATGCAAACATAGAAAACGTTGTCGCCAGAACGCACTGAAGCCTACATAACAAGAGGATCCAAAGCTACCCTAATCAGAACTAGAAAAAGGGGGCGGGGGTTCCGAAGACTAAGTCTCTTGAGGCCAAAAAACCCTTGGTTATACATTAATATTTAATTTTTCGGGGTATGTGGTTTTTTAGAGGTTAAAAGAGATTTTAAAAGGCTGGGAAACTTAATTTTCGTAGTTGTCTCCCAGCCCCAACTTAAGTGCTTCCTTTTTTTTTTTTTACCCTTTGAGGGAAAGGTGCACCGGGCAAAGAGAAAAAACTTGGGCCGGGCCTTGCCCGCTCGCGAGGGGCGCGGACGAGGCGCCCACGTAGCCGGGAAAAGAGCAGGGATTGTTCTCCGGCGAAGGGTCGTTCGCCCCCCGTCCCGGGTGGTTACCTCTCCGTTGGTGATGTTGATGGCCAGATAGATATCCCCGAAGGAGCCGGACCCGATCTTCCGCACCAGTTTATACTTCCCTCCGACAATGAATTCGGCCTTGGAGCCGCTGCTGCTCGCCATCCTGGCGGCGGGAAGGGGAGACGGGGACCTGGGAGTCCCGGGGCCAAGGGGGAAGGGACGGGGGATCAGGCGGGTCTCACCCACCAGGCGCGAGCTTCCAGGGACTGGAGTTGGTGGCACTCAACAAATTTTTACCCAAAAAATAAAGAAAGAAAAGAGACGGTTTCCCCGGATGAGGGCGTCCTGGGGCGGCCCGAGGGAGTCTTCTTTGCTGCTGCCGCCGCCGCCGCAGTCGCGCGGAGTTCCGGCTTCTCCCTCCTCCGGCTCCCGGGAGGGTCGCGGTTCCAGGCTGGGCAGCTTTCCCCGGGTGCCCCCCGACCCCCGTTAGAAGGTCCCCTGTGGGCTCAGGGAGACGTCCCAAACCGAAGAAGGCGCAGTAAGTGGGCGTAGCCCACCTGCTGCCAGAGCCGCCGCCGGGTCCCGCCCGCTAGGACCACGGTCACTCGGCCGAGGCCGCCATCTTGTTCCTCTGGCTACAGCCGACACAAAATGCCCCCAGCCCACAGAAGCCGCTTCTTCACAGCGCAAAGGACCCTGGGAAGGGGATCGCCGAGCGCGAGACGCCGTGTGCGACGAGAGGAAGGAACTAGATTGGTGTGAGCCTACTCTCACGCCGGTAGCGTCAGCCCGTCGCCGGAGGGTTTGCGCATGGGCGTAACTCAGGCAGAAGCGGGGGGAGGGGCCGGAGAAAGCCGAGGGCGCATGCGCGCTGCCCCCTTGGCGACTACTGGGGCGTTTGCCTGGGGCCTAGGGAGTCGTAGTCGCTGGCAGCGCCCGCCGCTACCGGGAACGGTTTGTGGCTTTAGTCATCGACGGGCCCCGGCCGGCCTCCCTCCTTCCCTTTCTCGGCAGCCTGCTTTTCCTGGGCTCAAGCCCCGGAGGGTGGGCAAGACCCACCTGGGCTCCCTTAGTAGCAACTGGTAGAAGGCTCACGCGGCGGTGTGAGGCTGGCGCGGATCCGCGGCCTGGCCGGGTCCGATCTCGATCCGGCCGTAGGGAGCTCTCGGGCGGCGGTCTCCCCAGCCCCGCCCCGCCCCACCCCACCCCGGGGGTAAAGCGACGCCGACTCGAGGCGGAGGTGGGGAGAAAGCTGTCAGCCGGGCTGTCTGTCTGGGTGGGGAGCGGCGAGGAGGAGGCGATTTCCTTCAAGATAGGACGGGTGAATCACAGAGTCAGGCCCGCGAGCTGGGCAGGACCTTGGCCTACGTCACTGAGCCCCAACCCTCTCATTTTCCAAATGGGGAAACTGAGGCCCTCAGAAAGGAACTGACTTGCCCAAGGCCGAACAGTGAGTCGGTGACAGCTGCCTCTGGGGGCACGCGGCTTTTCGGGCAAGAAACTAGCTGAAGTGTAGACGGTGGTGGCTTTTCCCAGGGAACTGCCTTCAGGGTCGTAAACCCGGGCTCAAGCCTCTCTCTGACCCATTTTATAATCCTTTGTTCCTCCCCAGGTTTTGCCTCCCGCCTGATGGTACGAACAATGCCTCGCTTTGTTACTGTGCTTTGTAAGCGCTTTCCAAAGGTTATCCCTTTGATGGTTGCCTGGCTCTCTGCTTCACAACCTGGCTGTGTTCATTGTTCCCACATCAATGGCCTATTGACTATCCAAAATGACCTTTCTGCAGTGTTTGTGGCCTCACCGCATCAAGTTGCAGCCAGGCGCAGTTCTCTCGGTTATGAGGGGTTTATCTGTTTATCTTTGCCTTTAACAGCAAAAATAGATGTAAAGGTTTTAAAAATTTAAACATTTTAGAAAATAAATGATTCTGCTATGGAAGTTGTATGACTGTTTAGGATAAACAGCGTAAATTATGGGCCACGTGATGAAAGGTAGCAAAAGGCAGTTTGAAAGCCTAACTGAAAATTCAAAGAATTGATAGGGAGAATAACATTACTTGAAATAAAAATTCGTATTTATATGGCACTTTGAATTTTACAAAGCAGTCTCCCGGCCACAAACCTGTGAGGTAGATATTTTCTTTTTACAGTTGAGGAAACAGGTATCTCAGAGATGTTGTCCCCTGCTCAGTGGCTCAGTGAATAGAGAGTACTGACCTTTGGCTTCAGGAAACCTACGTTTGAATCCTGGCTGACACATTTATTAGCTTTGTGTGATCTCTGTGTCTAATTTATAAAAGGGAATAATAGCACCTACTTCACAGAAAGGTTTTGAGAATTACATGAGTTAATATATATAAAGCACTTTGCAAAACAAAGTGCTGTGTAAATGCTAGCTATTAGAAGATCTGAAGTGGCAAAACTAGGATTTGAATCTATTAAAGTCTAAGTATATTTTCACGATCTATTTCCTCCAAAATAGCTCTGAACAGATATAATCAAAGATGTTATAAGGATATAACAAAGCCAATAAACATTTAAATTTGATACCTGTTATACTTCAGAAGAATTTTTTGTTCTTAAGAGAAAAGTCTAGCAAAGTACCAATGCTGTTCTATGGTACTTAACCAAGCAGTGCTGTGCAACACAATGAAAAAGAGGACACACACCTCAGTTCAAATCTCCAACTCACATAAGTATGAAAAAATTACTTAACCTCAGGCTTCCCATCTTTAAAATAAATAATATCATACTGACCTCCAACAGGGCTATTATGAAAAATGTGCTTTGTTGAATAGGCTGTAAAGGGTTAGATAAACGCAAGATATTGCAAGTAGTAGAATAGAGTTGAAATCCATTTATGCCAGCCTGTTAACGAAAATGGTCTCTTCTTCAGAAAATAAAAGTTTCCCAAGGCCATGTTATTCCCTCTCACCTTGAATGTCTTCATTTAATTTCTAGAACATTGAAGTGTTCTGGTTCTTTTTCTCTCATCAGTGGCTCTTCCAAACCTTAACCAGGTACTCCCCGAGGCTCTACTCATAACATCAAAGTCTTCAATTAGACCCAGAAGGGACCTTTAAAGCATTCGAATCCAACTTCCTCTTTTTACTGGAGAAGCAGCTGAAGCTGAGAGGGGTTAAATGTATTGCCCAAAGTCACACACCTTATCAGTGGCAGAGGCAGATTTGAACCTAGGTCTCCCTGACTTAAAGTTCAGCATTCTTTCTAAGATGCTGCGATACCTCTCCTACTCTTCTCTCCTTATATTCTCTCCAAAATAGACCCTTTCTCGTGACTTTAACTGTCATCTTGATAGCCTATGCCTTTATATAAAGCCATATAGTTAACCAAGAGTTTTCCTAATAATCCCATAATGTAGATAGAACAAGTTCTATCCATTGTTTACTTTAAAAAGCAGGCTGAAAGATCATGGCTTAAGCATAGTAACCCATAATTTACAGATTGAGAATTTAAACCTAGTTCTTCTAAATCCCATATTCTTTTCTACTACTACACAGATGTATCTAGTTTCATATGTCTTGTCAAGATCTGTCACCCAAACTCTAGTTCTGCATCTCCAGTTCTACTGAACTAACATATATACTTCAATATCCATCCAGATAACCCACCTTCTTCTAAAATCATGTCCCAGACCAAAAGCATTATCCTCTCCATGGTATCTTTTCTGTATTCTCTCACTCCTTCCTCTGCTTCCTTCTTCACATTGAAATAATCACTAAATAAAAGGCAACATTATATTAAATGAGGTAATATATGTAAAGTGGTTTGCAAACTTTAAAGTTTTGTGTAAATATTAGTTATGCTGGAAAACAGGTTGAAATTTTGGCTCCCTCCTGCATCCATCCATTCCATCACTGCCAGGGTACCCTTAGTGTCCAGGCCTGAGCCATGCTATTCTATCTGAAAATCCTTCACTTGATCACTATTGCCTTCTCCTTCATACATTCTACATTTCAGCCAAATGGACTAATCCTCATTCCCAGATCATTCTACCCTTTCTCACTTCTGTACCTTTTCATACACTATACCTCATTGGACTCAGTGGTGAGGATACAAATACAAAAACAAGGTAGTCCTTGCCTTCAAGGATTATAGTCTAATGGGGGAAGATTATTCCTAAAGGGAGGTAGTGACCAGGAAGGAGTATTTTTGCTTGAAGTTACCTGGATAGTACACGGAGGCTTAGGGGGGCAGATTGGCACACCAGTAGCAATGACAATAGTGATTTGGTTATGGTTCCTGAAAGTGGAAGGAGAGATAGGGAGAGTGGGAACATAAGTAAATGGACAGATCAGGAAAAACCTATAAGAGGATATAAAATGGCATCCCCAAAATGAGAGGGATCAGGAAAGTCTTCATGTTGGAGGTGCTAACTTACGTCCTCTCACAAATCCTCCCCAGGAAGTCCACTCAACATTTTTTACATTTATTACATTAAGTACATGCTAGTGGGCAGTTAGTGGCCGATTGGATACAGAGCCTGGCCTAGAGTCAGAAGACCTAAGTTCAAATCTAGCCTCAGGACACTTAGTAGCTGGGTGACCTTGGGCAAGTCACAAAGAGTCAGACATGACTAGACGATGATTGAACAACTGAACAGACTATGTGCCAGGGGGTCTTCATTCATATTTCTCAGCATTATGTAAATATCAGTGTATCACATAATTCATCCATTTCCCCTCACTCTCATTATATTACTGACCCACATATTCCAAGTACTCATCTCTTCAATGATAAATGCTTCTAGTATACAGTTTACTTGTAATCCATTGCAGCCTAGGCAGGTAAGTGGCACAGTGGGTAGAGCTCTGGGCCTGGAGTCAGAAAGAACTGAATTCAAATCCAGCTTCAGATACTAGCTGTGGGACCCTGGGCAAGTCATTTGTCACTGCTTCAGTTTCCTCCACTGTAAAATGGGGGTAATAAGACCATATACTTCTCAAGGTTGTGATGAGGTAATATTTGTAAAGCGGGTATCAGGATACAAAGAAAGGCATAAAATAGTCCCTGCCCCCAAGCAGCTCATAATCTAATGGGGGGGGGAACATTACATAAAAAGAAGATAAAAAGGGTTGGGGTATTACCCAGCAGGAGGTGGGAAATGATCTGAGGAAATGAGAGTTTCTTAGTTAAATAGTAGAGGATATGGGAGGAATTCTCCAGTGTTCATCTTCTACACTCTCAGTCTTACATCTCCAACTGACTTTTAGACATCTCAAACTGGGTGTACCTTAGATAATTTAAGTTCAGCATGTCCAAAATTGAACACATCTTTCCCTCAACCCTTCCCTTTTCCTGACTTCCCAACCTAGGTATCATCATCCACCAAGACTTGAAACTTGAATGTCATCCTTGACTCCTCATTCTCCCCCTCCATATTGAAACAATTGTTGGGACACTAATTCACTGCTGGTGGAACTGTGAACTAATCCAACCATTTTGGAGAGAAATCTGAAATTATACCCAAAGAATTATAAAACTGTGTATACCCTTTGACACAGCAATACCACTATTAGTTCTGTTTCCTAAGGAGATTAGAGAAAAGGGAAAAGAACTTATATGTTCTAAAATATTTATTGCAGCTCTCTTTGTGGTGGCAAAAAACTGGAAATTGAGGGGATGCCTGTCAATTGGGGAATGGCTAAATAAGTCGTGGTATATGATTGTGATGGAATACTACTGCGCTATAAGAAATGATCAGCTGATCGATTTTAGAAAAACATGGAAAGACTTGCATGAAATAGTGAAGAGTGAAATGAACAGATCTAATAGAATGTTATACACAGTAATAGCAATATTGTTTTATGAACAACTAAGTCATTTTGAGTATTATAAATACTCAAATCAACTACAAAGGACCTATGAAGGAAGATGCTATCCACCTCCAGAGAAGGAACTCTTAAATAGAAATATGTATACTATGGTTTTACATACATATATAGTTGTGTCTAGTGGTAGCCTTCTCTAGAGAGGAGGGAGGAAGGAGGGAGAAAAAAAACCAAAAAGTGCACAGCAGAGAACAAAAGAAAACTCGGAAGCACAGAAAAGCAGGGTAGATTTGAAAACGATGTGTAGTATTTATTACATAGTTTTTAAAAAAGTAAACATTGTGAAATGGAAAATCATGGTTTTATACCGAATGTTCTTTTTATGTTATATGGTGTACATGGAAATGGCCTTTGGTTTGGTTTGGCTTTGTATTTTGTATTTGTATTTTGTCGTTGTATTTAAGTTCAAAATGAATTAAAACAAAAAAAAAGAAAAAGTTGTCAATTCCTGTCATTTCTACCTCCATAACATCTCTCACATGCACCCTGTATCCTCTGACACTGCTACCACCTTAATACAGACCCTTGTCGCCTCACACCTGGACTGTTATAATAGCCTGCTGGTTGGCCCCCTTGCTTCAAGTCTCTTCCCCACTCCAGTCCATCCATCACTCACCTGTCAGGTTGATCTTCTTAAAGCAGGAGTCTGGCTAAGTCACCCCACAACCCCGCCAACCCACACAATAAATTCCAGTAACTCCCTATTCTCTCCAGGGTCAAACTTGAAAATATGGTTTGACTTTTAAAGCCCTCTATAACCTAGCCCTTTCCTACCATTCTAGTCTTCTCACACTTTACATCCTCCCACATACCCTTCAGTCCAATGACACTGGCCTCTTTGTGGTTCCTGGAACAAGACACTCATCTCTCAACTCAGGCATTTTCGTGGCCTTGCTCTATGTCTGGAATTCTGTCCTCATCTCTGACTCCTAATTACCCTGGCTTCCTTCAAATCTCTGATAAAGTCCCACTTTTTTTTTTAGGCAGTTGGGGTTAAGTGACTTGCCCAGAATTGCACAGCTAGTAAGTGTCAAGTTTTTGATCTGAGGTCAGATTTGAACCCAGGTCCTCCTGAGTCCAGGGCCGATGCTCTATCTACTGTGCCACCTAGCTGCCCCAAAGTCTCGCTTTCTACAAGAAGCTTTTCCTAGTCCTCCATTTTAGTGCCTTTCCTCTGAAATTATTTACAATTTATCCTGTGTATATCCTGTTGCATATAGCTGTTTGTATATTGTCTCAACCATTAGACTGTGAGCTCCTTCAGAGTATGGTCTATTTTTTACCTTCATATCTCCGGCACTTAGCATAGTGCCCAACAGGTAATGGGTGTTTAATAAATGTTTATTGTTAAGGAAAAACCTCTAGTCATTCAAAACACTGCACACCTTCCCAAGTGTTAAGCAGCTACTTCCCATCTTTTTCCAACTCAGTTCTAGGCCTAGATTCACAACCCTGATAGGACCATGCTGGGCTGTAATCATATTGAGAAAGTCTCAGTGCAAATTACTTTTTGTATTATTTTGAAAAAACGTATGTTAAGTTTGAGACCCCATAGCCATGAAATTAAAGGAGTATGCCCCCATGTTCTCAGAACTATGCCCCCATGCTCCTCCACAGCTTTTGATTGATTTGAGGGGAGGGAAGAGGCTTAAAAAAGAACACCTTAATATTTTCTTCTAGCTTCCCCGTAGCACTTACTAAGTA